AGAGAGAGAGAGAGAGAGAGAGAGAGGATAGAGAGGAGAGAGAGAGAGAGAGAGAGAGAGAGAGAGAGAGAGAGAGAGAGAGGATTCATCGGCACTGCGAGAAAGGGTGAATATTTTTTATTGCATCAGCGACCCTATTGCCTTGGCGGAGGTATGCACTCTCTGAGTACTTCTAGTTTATATTTCTTGTTATCATTGATTTATTTATTCTATTCATTTTTTTGGTTGTTCTATGTTTGCCATTTTTGGTATTATTATCATTTTCTCTTTCATTTTTTCCCTATTCATTCTAGTTCTCTTTCTATCCTCTTTTTTTCTTTACCCTCATCCCTCTTTCTATCGCTCATTCACTCGCTCTCTCTATTTATATATCTATTCATTCATTCATAACTTCACTTTTATTAATCTATTAATGTGTCTCTCTGACTTTCTATCTTTAGTTATCTGTCTCTCCTTACTTCTCTCCACCCCCTTCCTCCTTTTCTCTCACTCCAACTCCTCCCTTCCTTCTCCCATCCCTCCCTCCTCCCCAATCCTCCCCCTCTCCCTCATTCCCTCCCTTCCTCCCCTCCCTCCCTCCCTCCTCCCCCATTCCCTCCTCCTCCTCCCCCATTCCCTCCTCCCTCCTCCCCCATTCCCTCCCTCCCTCCTCCCATTCCCTCCTCCCTTCCTCCCCCATTCCCTCTCTCCCTTCCTCCTTCCCTCATTCCTTCCCTCCCTCTCTCTACCTTCATTCCTTCCCTTAGTATATTATACATTGTGTTGCCTTAAAAATAGTAACATGACCTACACGAGAGGGCTGAAAGTTTGGCACAGAAACAGGAGAGGGACGGAGAGAGAGAAAGAGAGAGACTGATAGAGAAACAGAGATAGATATTAGATAGATAGAGAGAAGAAGAGAGAGAGGGAGAGGGAGAGGAGAGGGAGGGAGAGAGAGAGAGAGAAGGGGGGGAGAGGGAGAGAGAGAGAGAGGAACAATGATATTAAAAAAGACAAACAAAGAGAGAGAGAAACAAAGGACACGCTGTATAAAGGAAAGAAAGAAAAAATAAAGAAAAAGGCAAGCGAAAGAGATATATAAAAAAAGAACATTTAGAAAGAGTAATAAAAAAGTAAAGAAGAGGAAGGAGGAGAAAAGCGAGAACGTGGAGTAAATGAAGACGAAGAAAAAAAACAGCAGCAACAATAAGAAACAAAAACTAAAATAAAAAAGATAAAAATAAAAAAACAGACGAAACACATTCATTAATATCTCTCAGGAGAGAGAGAGAGAGAGAGAGAGAGAGAGAGAGAGAGAGAGAGAGGAGAGGAGAGAGGAGGGAGAGGGAGGGAGGGAGGAGAGAGAGAGAGAGGAGAGAGAGAGAGAGAGAGAGAAGGAGAGAGAGAGAGAGAGAGAGAGAGAGAGAGAGAGAGAGAGAGAGAGAGAGAGAGAGAGAGAGAGAGAGAGAGAGAGAGAGAGAGAGAGAGAGAGAGAGAGAGAGAGAGAGAAAGATTGCTTCTAAATATAGGCACAGAAAAAAAAATAGAAGAGAAGGACATGGAGCTAAAAATAGATTTCCTTAGGTAATCAATCCTATGAAATGTTGTCAACAGCTTTCACTCTCCGGTGATGACGTCAAGAAGGGACAAGGAGGGAGGAGGGAGGGAGGAGGAGGAAGAACGGAAGGGGGGAGGAGGGAGGGAGGAAAAACGGAAGGGGGGAGGGAGGGAGGAGAGCGGAAGGGAGAAGGGAGATGAGGGGGAGGGAGCGGTAGAAAGGAATGGAGGGGAGAGGGAGGGAGGAGGGAGGGATGGAGGGGAGGGAGGAGGGGAGGGGGATGGGAGGGAGGGAGATGAGGAAGAGATAGAAAGAAATGGAGGAGAGAGGAGGGAGGGAAGGAGAGGGAAAGGAGGAGGAGGGTGACAAAGACGAAGAGATGAGAGAGATATAAAACGATGGAGGGAAGGAGGGAAGGAATGGGGACGGAAGGGAGGGGAGGGAGGGAAGAGAGAGGGTGACAAAAGGAAGAGATAAGAGAGAGATCTGAAGGAATGGAGGGAAGAGGGGGGAAGGAGGAAATGGAGGTGAGGGAGGGAGGAGGGAGAGGAGGGTGACAAAGACGAAGAGATGAGGGAGAGATAGAAAGGAATTGTGGGAGGAAGGGAGAGGAGGAGAGAGAGAGAGAGAGAGAGAGAGAGAGAGGAGAGAGATAGAGAGAGAGAGGAAAGGGGGGGTGGGGGTGAGAGCAAGGAGGTATAGTAAGAAAAGAAAATAAACAAGTAGAAAGAGAAAAGGAGAAAGAGGGAAGAGGGAGAGACAGAATAAAAGAGGAAGAGGGCGGAGAGAGAATTAAAGAGGGCGAGGGGAAAGACAAGTGGAAAACAATAAAAAAAGAAAAAGGAAATGGAGAAGAATAAATAAGAAGGTAAGGATGTGAAGAAGAAAAAAAAAAAAAAAATCATAAGCCCACAAAAAAATTTAAACTCCCCTTCCTTGAGCCATCACTCCCCCCTCTCTCTA